TTTATTGCGGGGAGCCCCACCAGGCGGGGGTCAGGCACGGGCTCAGCTCTGTGGCACGATGCAATTTCCTTTCCAGATCAACCCCTCCTCTCCCCAACCCCAAAAGAGACCCAGACCGGGCCTCAGAACAACCGCTGCTGTTGATTAAAGGCCCTGACGTTACCGGTGTGATTGCACAAGGGTGGCAGCGCTGGATACACTGGATGGAAGCTTTCCCGAGGGAAGAGCTGGGCCGGGTGCTCGGAGGGGTTCCCTCTCCGCCGGCAGTGAGGTGGGGGGGATGCAGATGCCTACAGGCAGCTGCCTTACCCCCTTTCGAAGGCAATGGTTGAGTTTTGCTGTCCAAGGACTGATTTGGGAACAGTAGAACGAGCTGCTGACCGAATCAGCTCCCTGTCTCCGTACCCCCTTGCGATAGATAACACAGCAGCACACGGACACAGGCAGCGCAACTCTGCTTACCCACACTATGAAATATAAAGCATTTCTACATTTGAGGAGAAGCAGCCCTTTGATCTCAGTGGTGCTTAAATCGGTGATCACTAAATGGGGAAAGATCCACTGTGCCCGATTTTTAATCCTCCTTCTTGTGTAACTGTTTTGAATGAGCAGTGCATGTAGCTACGACACGGCACTACCAAAAGACTTCAGGTTCAAAATGTGAAATTGTCACTTGGTCAGGTATGCATTCTAATTACAGAACACAAAACGCAGTAAGCACCGAGATACAGAGTTCTGCTAAAAGCTCTCACTAGGGTTCGTCCTTGCTGTGCAAATTCTGACATCAAAAAACCCTCCAATCTTTACAGCTGGGGAAGCAGTAGGAGGCAAGTCTGGAAGGATTTATTTCTCCTGTCCCAAAACTATACCAACCTCTCTTTTCCTCTATCTGAACTTCTCAAATTCAGTTCTATTTTAAAAGACACTTGTTTCATGCAGACCTGCCTTCCCATCTGTAAATGCATGGCATCCCTGTGCAACTATTAAAAGCGTTGCTGCTAGGAAAGTGCAATGTGTCATTTTGGCTACTGCCTAAGGCAGCTTGGTACCCAGAAAGCAACCAGCAGACAGTGTCATCTGGCCAGACGCTTCTCAACACCACGAGCATCCATGGCATACCGCTTTGGTCTGCAGATCACTGCTTGTTGGCCTATGATCCACATCAATGGTAACTAAAGCACATGCAAAACTCAAAAATGGAGAAAGCTTATTACTCCGTGTCACACTTTGCCCTGTAAACTCAGAGGAACTACATGAGTCTGTCGGAAAAGCCCAGTTTCAGCCTACCTGGTTCGCTTGGTTTAAAATACCATGGCACTGCTGCAATGTAACTAGTGCTCGTAAGCTCGATGGGCAGTTACTGCGTTGGCATGGACTGTGGCTACACAAAACCAATGTGAGAGACTCATATCAGAGATGGTATCTTCACATTAATTTATGTTACTGCTGACTATTGCTCTAAGCCCCTTCCCATGTGAATGTGTATATTTGTATCCATAAGCGAGCATGCACATATATGCTATGCAGCAATAATTTAAATTTGCAATTCTGTCTGTCATGCAGAATCATAAAGATACTGCATGTGAGATTGTCCATTTGATCTCAAAGAAGCAATAAAATAAAAAATGTTTGATTTCAGTGGATAAAAGTACATAAATTTCGAGCTGCATCTGCTTCCGCAGTGCTACTGACAATGTTTTAAGTCATGGTGTTTTTTCCCAGACCAAGACCTGCTTTAGTTCCACAAACCAGCAGCTTTGCCATCCCGTTTACATGTCATTGTATTTTATGGTTATTTTTACACACGATGAACTGTTTTTAATGCCTTAGTCTACTATGAGTTCAGTAGCTTTTTATTTATGGCATCAACATCTTTTTCATGTTAATGTCATTCAGAGATTTTGAAAGTCTTAGAATAAAGGCACACAAGGAACTCAAAAGTTGGGAAGAAAAGATCTAGAAAGAAAAGCCTTAACTGTGATCTATGACTTGAATGTTGTAGAAGTTGTAAGAGTTTAAGATGAGCTTGTTCCTCCTTCCGTTTATCTAAAAAAAAGTCACTAATGGGTTTGCAAACTGTGGCTGCTCTGACTCTAACACGTGGGTGCAATTACAATTCCCTTTTGCTTTATTTAGGCATTTTGCATCTCCGCACAACAGACAAAAATGAAGAGGTGAGAACAGGGAAGAGGCTGCTGAATGATTTGCCCTTTGGGTTTAGACAGCTCCCCCTGAAAACCATACAATCACACCGTGTGTTGCATCCTTTAGGTCAAACACTGCTCTTCCCATCTGCTCTTTTTGCAAACTCCTCTTCTGCTAGCCTTCAACTAGACTGCAGGTACGCTCGCAGTGCAAGCAGTGCTCTGGCAAAGACTCAGTGACTGACAGTTCCTAGCCCTCAGAGATCACGGTTTCATGATCACAGAAGCAAAGGGATTTTTTTTAAGGGAAGGAGGCGGAGGAGAAGGGAGATGTCTTAACTAAAGCACATAGTTTAACAATAATCTTACCACTGGAGACGAAATTCGACACCCAGGGCAATCACAGATTGGAGGATGTACCTGTAAGATTCCTTTGGACATAAGAGTCTTCAAACTTTTCCCTGGATGCAGAGGAGAAGAAAAAGAAGAAGAAGAAAAAGGATCAGCACCTTTATAAAAGGAAAGTATTTAGGGAAGGGGGGGG